CCCTAAAGCCCTAAACCCCAAAAATCAAAGCCTCGCTTCTGACCTTGGAGGCGAGCTCTTCCCTGGGAGCGGAATCGATGGTCGGCGCCTGCCAGCCGGCCAGGGCCTGTCAGTGCAGATGGGTAGTTCTCTAAGTTAGGGTTTAGGGGGTTTAGGGTTGAGGGTTGAGGGTTTAGGGTTTAGGGTTTAGGGTTTAGGGTTTTGGATTGAGGGTTTAGGGTTTAGAGTTTAGGGGTAGTTACCCTACATTAGGGTCCCTTTGGAGGGTTCCTTAAAGGGATCTGTAAGGGTCAAAGGGTTTAGATAAGGGTACTATATGGGTAGTTCACTAACTTAGGGTCCCTTTTGAAAGTTCGTTAAAGGGATCTATAAGGGTCTCTATCGGGTTTCTATAAGGGCAATTTTTGGGTAGTTCTCTAATTTAGGGTCCCTTTATAGAGGTCCCCAATATAGTACGGCACCCTTCCTAAACGGGACGCTGATTTAGAGAACTACCCACATTCACATTCTCAGAACCACAGGTTGAACCACTAGTACTAGTAGTAGTAGTAGTAGTAGTAGTAGTAGTAGCAGGAGTAGTGGTAGTGGTAGTAGGCGGTATAGTAGGTATAGGACGCAAAAACTCCTAGTGCAGATGCACAGACGCACTGGCGTTAAAGCTGTACGGCTCAGGGTTGGGGGCCTTTTGATTTTGGGGGGTTCGGGGGTTGGAGACTTTTGGCTTAGGGCTTTACACTTCCAGCCTTACCGAAGCATTCCCAAGGGTCCCTGGCCTTTGGCATGAACGCAAGTTGAGGTGCCAGCGTTTGCGGCTCTCGGTTTCGTCAACCCGGCTTCACAATGTCATCATGTCAACTCGCAGCACAGAGCCAAATTATCAGCACCCGCAAAGGATGTTAAGCGCCACAAGCTGTGCCAGCATTCAGTGCAAGCTTCGGGTTCCTTTACAGCCGATGGCGAAACCTGACTGAAATCGCGTGACACAAGACAAGGCCAATCTCTTTCAACGAAGACACCCTGCGAGCCTGAACATCTGAAAACTGGCCCTGAACCCTGAAACCTGGATCCCAGCAGCTTGCACTGTGCAACCCTTCCCGTAGGTCTTCTCTTCACCCCTGTAATACTGCCTTATTGTGTCATGATCTAACTTGAACCTTGAAGTATCAGAGAGCCCCCGGGGTCAGTCCTCAAAGCCTGCAGGTCCTCGCCGGTCTCCTCGAGCTCCCGAAGGCTTAGAGCTTAGGGTTTTAGGGGCTTTGGGTGCTCCAGGAGGGCACAGGGTGTAGGGCTGCGGATTCAGCCTTGCAGGAGTCCTAGATTTCCAGCTGAGCTATGATTCCTGGTTCAAGCCCAAAGCCTCAGAGCCTATATACTGTCTCTCGGTTCTCGTGTGCAAACTACCCAGCCTTCAAACAAATGCTGCCTGTCCTTCCTAGCTTAGCAAGGAACTACAAATTTCTTGCAGGCGACCGGTTCGGCGCTTAACAGAAAGACTGCAGCTGCCTGACCTTCCTAGCCGTAGCCTCTGCGTAAAGCCGGAGCCACGAAGTACGATTCGCTCGCGCAAAGCTCCGAAAGCCCTTGTAGAAGCCCTAACCCGTACAGAAGCCCTGATAGTGACCCTTGTAAAACCCTTGCAGCATGCATTGTACTAACAAAATTTATAACTTCATAGGAACTGTCCTTGGCCAAGCACCGGGCGACCTCATGGCTCTGCCGTCGTGCCTCGTACCTTTTAGAAGGGTTTCAGAAAAGGGGCGTTCAAGGGTTTGCTGTTTCTGGTCTAAGTTTGGGGAGTGCGAAGTGAAGGGTCTAAGTTCAGGGTCTAGGGCCTACGGCTTCACAAATGTACTAGAAGTAGTTGTTGTCCTGCTGCTGCTGCTCCTGCTGCTGCTGCTCCTGCTGCTACTGCTGCTACGAGTACTGCTGCTACTGCTACTACCACTACAGCCAACACCACCACCACCACCAGCACTACTTCTACTTCTACTTCTACTTATTGTTCTTCTACTACTACTACTACTACTACTACGACGGCGACGATGACTACGACTACGACTACGACTACTGCAACTGCTACTGCTACTGCTGCTACTACTACTACTACTACTACTACTACTACTTCTGCTACTACTACTTCTGCTACTACTACTACTACTACTACTACTACTACTACTACTATTACCACCGCAACTGCTACCACTACCACCGCTTCCTCCACCAGTACCACCACTGCCACCACTACCATCACTACCACCACTACCACCACTACAACTACCACGACTACCACCACTACCACCACTACCACCACTACCACCACTACCACCCTACCACCACTACCACCACTACCACTACCACCACTACCACTACCACTACCACTATTACCCCTGCTACCATTACTACCACCACTACCACAACACCACTACCACTACTACTGCCACTACTGCTGCTACCACCACTCCTACCACCACCACTACCACGACTTCTCCTTTACTACTCCTCCTCCTGCTGCTGCTGCGGCTGCTGCTGCTGCTAGTACTGCTGCTACTACTACTACTACTACTACTTCTACTACTACCACTACCATTACTACCATTACTACCACTACTACTACTACTACTACTACTACTACTACTACTGCTACTACTACCACTACCACTACTA